CCCCGGTGGTGTGCGGTCGGGGAAGGCGCCCTCCGCCGCGGCCCGAGAAGCCGGCTTGGCTCTCCCCGCGGCTTCCTCTACGGTGATTGTGTGGCCTGGGGTTCTCTACGCGCCCGCCAAGCCTCGGTTTCTCCATCCGTACAATGGCTCTGCACAAAACGACAGGGGCTCCCTGGCCTGTGCCCAGGACTTGGTGCGAGGATGCCAAAGCGTCGAGTGGGGGAAGGAAGGATGGTGCGGCTTCCTCCACGGAGGCACGGGAGCGCGTCACTTGTCCACAGTGTCGATCTAGCCGTGGGATGGGAGACCCGGGCCCTCCCACCCTGGCGCCCCGATCCTGAGCACGGTTGGAAGTCCACGGCAGTACCTCTACATTCCCGCTAGGTGGCGCTATCGCAAAGGACAACGCTGTCTGAGGTTCCTGCACCCCAGAGCTGCAAAAAAAAAAAAGGCGGGTGTCAGCCCCTTCTAGCTTTGGGGCCAATCCAGCCCGTGAGCCATTGGCCCTGCCGCTGCCGCTGCCGCCGCCACCTTTACCTCTGTTGGAAGCTGACTGTGCCTTGATTCTGGGCTATTCACTCCCTCAGTGATGTTAGCGGAAGGCTTTGCTTGGCCGAGTTCAACTCTGGATGTTTAAAGAAATTCCGTGTTGGTGTTTTTTTTTTTTGGTTTTGTTTTGTTTGTTTGTTTGTTCTTTGTTTTTAATCATTTGAAGACCTGGGGGTGGGGAGAGGCTGGTGTTCTTGTGATGTGAACAGCCTGAGCGTTTAGCTGCATACCATCTTTGTGCCTATGTTCACAAGGTAGAAGCATAAAAGGATGGGGTAAGCCAAACCTAGCCGTGGTCCCAACTATCTAGGAGGGTGGAAAGTCCAGGGTCTACCTGGGTAACTTAATGAGCTCCTGTCTCAGCCGCATGAGTAATAGATAAGAACGGGTTGGGGATGTGGTAGGCTGCTTGCCTAGTATATGGAAGCCCTGGATTTGACACACCCTCCTCACCACACACAAAAAAGAGTAGACCTTTTAAGTCTAATTTATCAAGCACTCCCTGAGCCAGGAATATTTTGCAAATATTTCTAACCCTCCCAACAACATTGCAAGGTAAGTGTTTTAATTTTTATTTTACAGATGGAAATCAGGATCTGTAGCTACTGAGCAGAACTTCTAGGTCTGTCTCCAAGCCCTCTACCCTGTTCTGTCTGCTGCTTACCTGCTTGTTTTATTTCTTTTGTTATTGTCAGGGTTTTGTTATGAAGCCCAGGCTGGCCTGAGTCTTATCCTCCTGCCTCAGCTTCCCAATGATAAGCTTATAGTCAGGCATGGACCACCTTACTCAGCTCCTGTCTGTGGTGGTATTGTGTTCCCCAAAATATTATGTACCTTAATAAACTTATCTGGGGTCAGAGAACAGAAAAGCCACTAGTTAGGCAGTGATAGCACACGCCTTTAATCCTAGCATTCCAGAGGCAGAAATCCCTCTGGATCCCTGTGAGTTCAAGGCCGCATTGGAAACAGCCAGGCATGGTGACTCACACCTTTAATCTCAGAAAGCAAGCCTTTAATCCTAGGGAGTGATGGTAGAAAGCAGAAAGGTATATAAGGTGTGAGGACCAGAAACTAGAAGCATTTGGCTGGTTAAGCATTCAGGCTTTTGAGCAGCAGTTCAGCTGAGAGCCATTGGGATGAGGACACAGAAGCTTCCAGTCTGAGGAGACAAGACCAGCTGAGGATTCAGGCTTTTGAGCAGCAGTTCAGCTGAGAGCCATTGGGATGAGGACACAGAGGCCTCCAGTCTGAGGAGACAAGACCAGCTGAGGATCTGGCAAGGTGAGATAGCTGTGGCTTGTTCTGTTTCTCTGATCTTCCAGTGTTCACCCCAATAACTGGCCTCGGGTTTGATTTTATTAATAAGAACTTTTAAGATTCCTTCTACACCTGTCTTCTGCCTTCCCACATGCTTCCTTTAGAACGTTTCACAGGTCACATGACTGCAGCCCTTATCCAAGAAACTGGAACTTGAGACCTTCCTTTCTCAGCCTTCAAGTACTGGGATTACAGGTGCACACAGTAGGCCTGACTTGAGCTTTCTATAAAAGCTTCATGTGTATGCATATTTTGCATGCACCTATGTACATGTGCCACATATGTGCTTGGTGCCTACAGAGCCAGAAGAGGGCATTGGATTCCCTGGAACTGAAGTTACAGATAATTGTGAGTTGCTGTGTGGGTGCTTGGAACTGAAACCTGGTCCTCTGCAAGAGCAAAAAGTGTTCTTATTTACTGAGCCATCACCCCAGCCCCATATACAAGTTTTAAATGTATACATTTATTTATTGTCCTCCAGATTGAACCCAGAGTCTCACCCATGCTAGGCTTTGCCATTGAACTACATCTCATAAGGGGTTTATTTGGAAGAAAACATGATGAGACAGTCCCACAGTATTACAGACTGGTCAGCCACACCCCACCTCCCAGAGGAACCCTGAAGTCATGGTCACTGGAGCATGATTTTCTGTTGCTATTTTCTTCAGCATCTCAGCTCTCTGGGAGAGCGTTCTGTTGCTGATAAACCTCATATGAAGTCACACCTAAACTGAGTAAGCATGAGTGTGCTATCCAGCTAAACTGGAAATGAAGTGGATATGTTGGTTTAGTGAATTCTGGGGCAGGAAAACAACGGGTAAAAATTCCCTGCCTTCATGGAACTCATATTAAGGAAAAGAGAAATTATAAAGCCACAATTTACAAATGTGGGAAGTGGACAAATGCTTACTGAGCACCTACTGTGTGTGAGGCACTGAAGAAACAGCACTGAATGGAGCAGACCCAGTCCTTACATTCTCACGTTTATGTTCAGCCTGGCAGAGCAGACATTTGGGCCAGCCAGATGTCACACGAGCCCAGTGCCTTGAGTTTACTCCTGGGTAGGCACAAAGGTGGAAGAGCACAGACTCCACAAACTGCTCCCCAATCTTCACACGCCATGCCATGGCCTTTGCCTCACCCCCAACAATAAATAAAAACTTAGAAAACCAGACATTTCATGCATAAAACTGATTGAAGTTGTAGGAGTGCCTCAAAGGAGAAGACTTGGAGATCTGGAATGGAGTTCTGAAGAAGTGACCGTAACTTCTGAAGAGTGAGTACAGTGGATGAAGCAAGAGCCGGCAAGTCCCAAGCAGAAGAGGTGGCATTACAGAGTTTGAGACCACTGGGAAAAGACCACAGACTCAAATTGTAATTAGCCAGATTTATTAAAACTGCTAGCAGGGCAACAGCCTTAAAAGCCAAATTGAAGACATGCTACCCAGAAGGGGGTAAGGGAAGGGTTTTTAAAGGTGGAGACCACAATTACCTTGTTGCTGTGGAATTCGCAGCTGTTTAGGAAACTGCTTCACTTCCCTCAGCTGTGTGAGGAGCTGTGTCTCTTCCCCCTGTTCACAGCCATGAAGGAGGTACCTTACTCCCCTGTGTACAGTGATAAGCGGGTTTACAGAAGCCAGAGCAAGCTGTTAATCATCACAGCAGTTACATCATTCTGGGAAGGGTGCAGATTGCTAGGAGCTCATCTTTCAGAAATTTAGGGCAGAGGCTTATATAGATACGAAGGAGATACCTGGTACAGAATGGAGTTTCCTTAGCCATCACAATGGCACACAAAGGTCTTGAAGGATGTGTCAAGTTGAAGGAAGATCAAAAGGTCAGCAAAGCCTTAAGAAGCTATGGAAGTAAGTATCAGTAGCAGCACTAACAGAACTGGGCTTTGTGGGAAACCAAACCAAGACTTAGTTCTGAAGGGGAAGGAGGTTGGGAAGGAAGGTGTAAGTTCTAAGACAAAGGAGGGGATCCAGCACTCAGGATGCTGAGACAGGAGGATCATGAATTTGATGCCAGCCTGGGCTACACAGACCCTGTCTTTAAAAAAAAAAGAAAAAGAAAAAGGAATTGGAGGGGTATCTCAGTAGTAGAGGATTGCTTAGCATGTAAAACCCCTAGTGTATACCACCAGTAAGTAATAGGATCAAAGAATACTGACCCTTATGGAGAATGAGATAGTGAGTGAGAAAGGATGGCTGCAAAGGTATAGCAGGCACCCTTTGCTCCTCTTTGCAAGATAACCAAGATGTGTGTCTTATGTATATATTTGTATGCCTAAAAACATGAATGTCCACAGCAGTGTTACCTTAATAGTCCTAAATAGGAAACAAATGTCTAGAAAGAGTGGATGGATAAATGATAGTGTAGTCACACAATGGAATACTCGATTCTCACTAACATAATGCCCCAAACACACACATACAAAAGGTTATTATTCCATTTATATAAAGTCTAACAGGAAAAGCTGACCTGTGCTATTAGAATGGCAGCTCTTTTTCTTTTCCTTTTAGTCATCTAAAAAGAACTGGGTGGGTGTGGTGGTATGTGCCTGGAATCTCAACACTTGGTAGGTAGAGTCAGCAGGAGCAGGAGTTCAAGGCCAGCCTCAGCTCTGTTACGAGTTTGAGAACAGCCTGGGATTTATGAAACTCTCAAAAATAATGATAAGATACATATACCATAAAATTTACCATTTGCATTCATACTATTGTGTAATCATTCCCAATAACTAGTTCCAGAATTTTATTTTTAATACTTATTTTCATTTTGTGTGCTTGTCTCCATGTGGATCCACAGGTGTGTGTGTGTGTGTGTGTGTGTGTGTGTGTGTATACCAATGGGTGCAATGTCTGCGTAGGCCAGAAGATGGCATTGCATCCCCTGAAACTGGAGTTACAGGTGGTTGTGAGCTGTCATGTGGGTGCTAGGAATCAAACGGGGGTCCCCTGGAAGAGCAGCCAGTGCTCTTAACTACTGAGACATTGCTCCAGCCCCACTTCCAGAACTTGAAGTAGTGTCGACTGGGGTCTCTGTCCTCAATGAGGAGGGATAATGACTGGGAGAAGCATCTGGTTATTGGTAATTGTTCCTTTAAACAAAATCTGGGTGTTTCTACTATGATGATGTATCCAGATACACTGACTCTACTTCTCTGTGTGAATGTTATACCTAAATAATTATAGATGCTTAGTTTTGCTAAGTGGTTGTCTCTCCCTTTAGAGGTTTGATTCTCAATCCTCTTTGTTTTACTAATTTGTATTTTTTAAGCTGGTCTTTATGAACACAAGTATTACTCTGGCAACAAAATTTTAAAATGTAAATCACTTTAAAGGAAATATATTAACTTTGGTATTTTCAAAAGAAAATATTCCTTGTAATCCAGGGCACTAGAACTCTGCTTACTAACCCTGTTGTGTCAGGGTTGACATTTCTGTGTTTGTCCCAACCCTATATGGTTCTGTATCTCTCCTGTCACCTGGGGGAGGGTATAGAAGGCATGTGGGTACACATGAGGAAGGAGGCTGTCACACTCTTCCCGGTCACTGGGTGGTTATCTCAGTGGACTCATCCTTGCCAAGTTAGAAGTAAACTTGAAGCCAAAACTGAAGTTTTGAGAAGATAACTTGAAGACCAAGGTATACAGGCTACCTGGACTAGCAAGAACAACCACAGGCTTTAGACGAGGTGTACACCCCGCCCCCCAGCCTGTCATGTAGAAGGCAAGTGATCTAGAAGTCTGTCATCTACAAGTCAATGAATGGTCCCTCAGATCTGTGATCTAAAAGGTGAGTGGCCTTCAGTCTGTCAACAAGAAAAGAGTAAGCTCTCTAGGAAGTTTAGCAACAGAAGACACTGCCAGCCTTCCTCAACCATGCTGCACCCACTGGACATGCTGTCTGAGGAGTGTGGAGCAGCTGTAAGCTAGCCTTGCCCTATGATTCATCTCCACTTTCATTTATGTCCTACCTAGTCCATGCAGGCTGTTGCCTTCCCTGTTCCCAGCTCCCACAGTCCTCTGTGTCTTTCCTAGAGCAGTCATCACAATGGCTAGGAATCTACTGCCAGTGTGGTCTCTTTAATAACTGGAACTAAGTCTTTGATCATTGTCTCCTCAGCTCCAAACAATTCTGGGCTCACAGGACATACTCAATACATGTTGATCTAAATTGTTGGAGACAGATCTACCCTTGAGCCTTTCTTTCCCCAAGTGGTGTGACTGCACACTCTGCTTCTCTCTAGGCTTCACTTCTTGGTGTTCAGATCTCTTCCTGAAGACATTATTACACATGCATAGACCCTGCACATGCCCTGCACCTGTGGCATAGATCTAAACCCATTTCCACATACACTAATGCCCCCCCCCCAACATCTTGCTGCTTCTCCTGTGCTTTGCTGCCTTTCCCCTTCAAACGCTTCCCCACCCTTTTCTTCCCACGCTGGGGACTGAATTGAAGGCTTTGCACACACTAGGTGAGCACTCTCACCAAGCTGCGTCACTATCCCTTGGACTCCCAAAGTCCGAGCACTTGTTAGTTAAGTTGCTTCTGCCTGCACTTATAGACAGGAATTTCCCATACACACTAAAATATGTCTATCATGCAGTAGCACTTTCCTGTTAAGCCTTCATTTTAAGCCAGGCCCTATGCTAGTTCATCCTCTAGTTGGAAAGGTAGTGGCTGCTGTAGAAGGATATTCTAAAGTCTAACAAGGTACCTAACTCAATCCATGGTCAGTCACAGCTTCCCCCAGGAACTGAAATTCCTGCAAACACTCAAGTATAAGTAGAAGGTAGTTGGGGTGATGGGGTGATAAAAGAGCTGGAGGGAACTATATGTTTAAAAGGCTAAAGGCTGGGAGGGGTTAAATGTTCAAGGATCTTACAGACATTGCTAATAGCTGAGCATGGAGCTGAGGACAATGTGCCCAGATGAGATTAGGAAAGCAGGCGTTGATGAAATGAAAGAAGCCTTGCTGTCTACTAAGTCTGTTTCAGACAGGAATCTTTTTGGTTGAAAGTGACCACTGATCCACTGAGAAAAAAGGGGTCCTTTATGGGCTCCGTAGCTAAAAGTTCAGGGCTTTCAAGATCAAAGATGCCATTGAGTTTTGACACCTCTCATCTCTGCTGTCCTTTGTGTTAGCTTCATTCTTTCTCTGTGAAATGGTCCCCTGATCTCCCCAGAACACAGAAGGCAACTGGAGTGGAAGGGCCATTGATACTGGCTGCTTATCCATATGTCAGAACCTTCAAGGCTACCTTCTTTTCAGGAGGTCTAGACCTTTCTACCTTAGATTCCCCCCAAGGATGGCAGGATCTTGGCCTTATTGGAGCTTACGGGAGCAGAGAAAGGGACCGGTGAGAGTACTCTATTCCAAAACTCCAAAGCAATTTGCTTTTTAAAACTAGTCAGCTCCCTGTTCCCTGCCTCTTTGTTCCAGGTCCTAACACGCATATTCTCTGCGCATCCTTAGCTTTCCTGAAGAGCAGAATCATTAGTTTGAGTAAGAATGTAAGGGAGGACAGGAACCCCAGAAACGCCCCCAACTCACTCTGCGTCCTAAGAGAGCCCTGACCTACTTGTCTCCCTCCCACTCTTGCTCCTCCCCCGAACCCTGCTCAAACCTCTCCAAGTCCTGGCCCAACTTCGGGACATTTGAACTCGTCCATCGAGCAGTGGGTCGCTTTCTCCTCACGCATACCCCACCTAGGCAGGCCCAGCCGAAGAGCATCCCACCCAGGGACCACCTTTTTTTCCTTGGGATCCCGCGTTTCCGCCTCCGGGGCGGAGACTCCTCCCCTCTCAGTCCCAGTTGCGTTCCCTGGAAGAGCAGCCGGGACGGTGAGAAGCCGGGTCCTCCTAGCGTTCCAGGAGCCGTTCAGCCCTGGAGGCCGCGAGACCCACCCGGAAGCAGGCGGCTGCACTGCTTCAGCACCAGGGACAGCGCTCCGACCGCAGCCCTAGTGTCAGCCAGGCAGCGCGCTATGCTGGCGGCATGGCCCCGCGCTCCAGCTCTATGGCGCTGCTGCTCAGCTTCGGCCTTCTCTGGCTGTGTTCAGGTAAGAACTGGCCGGCCAGGCTCCCCTGCCTCAGCTAGTGGCTCAGGACGCCAAGTTCTGTCACCCCTGCCAGGACAAAGGCGAAACGAGGGCTTCTCTAGAGGTGCAGGAGCCTGCTGGGGGATGGGGAGAGACTCCAGGGTCGGCAGGGAGCGTCTGGGAGACCCAGGCGCAGGCGCAGGCGCAGGCGAGAGGCCGCGGGAGAGGTGGAAACCTGACCATTGCAGGGAAGAAGCAAGTGAGCACAAAGAGGAAGGAAGGAGAGGATCCTGGGATGACAAGAGGCTTCTTGATAGCATTTGACTTTTTATGACCCCGTTTAACGCCTTCCTCCCGGCTCCCCATTATATCCCATCCTCCTCATTGGGGTCCTGATTTGGGTCACCCTACAGGGAGGGATAAGGCGGGAAGGGGAGACCAGTGACTTCCCATCTCTTGTAGGACGGGACAGGAGACTTGGAAGAGAGAAAATGCCAGACTGAGGGCGAGGAAGGCGCTCTGTGGGGTGCTCAGATGGTGTGCTTGTGGAGAGTCACAGAAGGGGAGGCAGGAGAGGGGCCAGTATAAGGCAATGCACAATAGAAAGAACTTTCCACACCTGCGTGACAGCACAGGGGGTGGGTGCCTCCACCCCCAGATCAGGCAGCCCCGCTCTTCTGCTCCAAACCATGGAGGCAGAGACCTCAAGCCTCAGAGGCTTGTCTATCTGAGACCTTTTGGGGAAAACAAGTCCCAATTCATCTTTTCAGAGTGGGTGGTTAGTCTAGAGGTGTCTCTCTGGAGCTGTTTGGACTCGTGGTGTGGTCTCAGAGAGGGACTTAGCTATGAAAGTCAACCTGGGGCTTCTGTGGTCCCAAGGCATAACTGAACATTTTGCAATATCCTTAAGCACAGGGTTGTAAGAGGCTATGACTTCCAGGCTGAGCTAATTGACCTATCCCCCGACTCCCTGGGTAGGTGGGCTTTTGTGAGCCCCTCTGTTTACCCACTTCCTGCCTTGCCTTGCCCAGGGGTTGTGGGTACCGACACAGAGGAGCGGCTAGTGGAGCATCTCCTGGACCCCTCCCGCTACAACAAGCTGATCCGTCCAGCCACCAATGGCTCCGAGCTGGTCACCGTGCAGCTCATGGTGTCACTGGCCCAGCTTATCAGTGTGGTGAGTGTGGGTCTCAAACTCTTGGTCCAGCTACAGAAGTCAGCCCAGCCAGAAAGGGTTAACATCTGAGTTTGCTCCTTAGGCGCTTCTGAGGTGGTGGTGGTGGTGGTGATGGGGACCTTAAGAGGGCGGTGGGAGGTCTGAGGACTGGGGGGCCTTTTCAGCAGCTGCTCTGTTTTCCTGCAGCATGAGCGGGAGCAGATCATGACCACCAATGTCTGGCTGACCCAGGTCAGTGCTCTTTCCTACCCACATCCCCTCCCCGCTTCTCTCTTCATCTCCTTCAGAGAGGAGTCCTGAAGAGTTGGGTTTGAATCCTTGACTAGGCCACTCACCAGCACTGTAATTAATTAATTTAGAATCTGCTCTCCCTGTGTAGCCCTGGCTGACCTAGAACTCACTATGTGGATCAGGGTGGTCTTGAACTCACAGAGATGTCTGCCTGTCTCTGCCTCACTAGTACTGAAATTAAAGGTATTCACTACCATGCCTGCTTGACTCTGTGACTTCAAATGTTAAACACTCCCAAGAGTCATTTTCACATCTGTAAGATGTAAAGTCTAATATCCTGGCTCAGGTGTGCAAATTAAACAAAGAAGCATCATCACATGACCCATGTCTGGGCAGAGAAGTCGCTGTGGAGAGAAGGCTGACTTTTTCAAGTTTTCCACGAGCCATATGAGTTCTCTTGTCCCTTTCTTCGACTCTGGGCCCCCTTTGGGGCTGGAGGTCGGTATTGCTTTGCTCTCTCCCTTCCCAGGAGTGGGAAGATTATCGCCTCACCTGGAAGCCCGAGGACTTCGACAATATGAAGAAAGTCCGGCTCCCTTCCAAACACATCTGGCTCCCAGATGTGGTCCTATACAACAAGTAGGTGGCCCTGGAGTGATAAGAAGGTTATGGGAGACCAGAGGTGTGCTTGGGAGAGGATGATATCATGGGGTGGGGATGTAAGAGGCATGTGCTGTTGTGAGAAGGAGATGGCTTTTCCCTGGCAGGTTGTAGACAGGCATTATCCACACAGACAGACCCAACTAGTGGCATGCAGTGTGAGCCCATGGTGACTTGGACCTTGACCAGCCCCTTCCAGCTACTTAAATTGCCAGTATTTGGAACTGGGGTAGGGAGAGGGAAGACTGACAGTTGTCAGTGTCTAACTTGATTCAAGAAGGGGCACTTCTGGAAGCCTGGGTGGGGACAAAGAACTTATGGTCCTTATTTCAGCTAGATTCTGTTCTGTTCCCTTCAATGAGTCTTCTTACCTTTACGGCACAAGACTCCCTTAAGGATGGGGCTGTGCCCATATCCCTTCATTGCTTCTTTGCTCTGGCCTCTCTGGCTTCCCCTACCTCTGCCCTCACAAGGACTAGTCAGTTTACACAATGTGGGACAAGGAGCAGATGCATCCCACCCCCATCCTTCTCTTCTACCTCCTGAATAGGACAGCTGTTCTTACCGCCAGCCCATGCATATCCCCACCCCCAGCTCCATTCCTGCACACCATCTTTGTATGAGATGGTCATTCACAGCCTGGGTCCTCCTTGCTGGGTTGATGAGTGGGATGGAGACCCTCAAGCCAGGGCTGACTGCCTCATTCCTTGGCAGCGCTGACGGCATGTACGAGGTGTCCTTCTACTCCAATGCGGTGGTCTCCTATGATGGTAGCATCTTTTGGCTACCACCTGCCATCTACAAGAGTGCATGCAAGATTGAGGTGAAGCACTTCCCCTTTGACCAGCAGAACTGCACCATGAAGTTCCGCTCATGGACCTATGACCGCACGGAGATCGACCTGGTGCTCAAAAGCGACGTGGCCAGCCTGGACGACTTCACACCCAGCGGGGAGTGGGACATCATCGCGCTGCCCGGCCGGCGCAACGAGAACCCAGATGATTCCACCTACGTGGACATCACCTATGACTTCATCATTCGGCGCAAGCCACTCTTCTACACCATCAACCTCATCATCCCCTGCGTGCTCATCACCTCGCTGGCCATCCTGGTCTTCTACCTGCCCTCGGACTGCGGGGAGAAGATGACACTGTGCATCTCTGTGCTGCTAGCGCTTACGGTGTTCCTGCTGCTCATCTCCAAGATCGTGCCTCCCACCTCCCTTGACGTACCGCTGGTGGGAAAGTACCTCATGTTCACCATGGTGCTGGTCACCTTCTCCATCGTCACCAGCGTGTGCGTGCTCAACGTGCACCACCGCTCGCCCACCACGCACACCATGGCTCCCTGGGTCAAAGTGGTCTTCCTGGAGAAGCTGCCCACTCTGCTCTTCCTGCAGCAGCCACGCCACCGCTGTGCGCGGCAGCGCCTGCGCCTGCGGAGGCGCCAGCGGGAGCGCGAGGGGGCAGGCGCACTCTTCTTCCGTGAGGGCCCTGCCGCTGACCCATGCACCTGCTTCGTCAACCCTGCGTCAGGGCAGGGCTTGACTGGAGCTTTCAGGGCTGAGCCCGCGCCTGCAGCTGGTCCGGGGCGCTCGGGGGGGCCTTGCAGCTGCGGCCTCCGGGAGGCAGTGGACGGCGTCCGCTTCATCGCGGACCATATGCGAAGCGAGGATGATGACCAGAGTGTGAGTATGAAGTGTGAGCCCAGGCATCCTAGGAGCCCTTGGATGGGGGGGGGGTAGGTATTGCTTAGAGTCTCAAAGCAAGGGTCCAGGGGAGAAGGCATGAGTGAGGTGGACTCTCCGGGGCAGGCTAGCAGGTTGACTTGCCTACTTTGGAGTCTGTACCAGATGGATGACCTTGCGGTTCCTGCGAGGAATAGAACTCGGGGTGAAGATGCTCAGACATCTTCAGTGTGTGGGAGGTAGCCAGGAACCTTACGGCAGGGAGAAGTTTTTTTTTGGGTTTGAGGGTGTCACCGAGATTTTCCCTGTAGCTCACATGACCACATCCAAGTTGTTAATGTGTTGCTCTTAGTGCAAATGGAGATGTCCTTGTGGGCCACAGAGCAGGCAAAATTGAGGACAGTGACGACGACAGTCAGGGAAAGGGACGTTTAGAGGTTCCATGGAGTTGATTCCAGTGGAGAGAGCAGAATTTAAAATCAATATCCCACTTCTACTGTCCTGGGCCCTGAGAAGAGTCTAATGAAATATTGATAGAGGTGGTGTGGGTAGAGGCCCGGGCTCCCGAGAGTCACCTCACCCTCTTTCTGCACATCCGGCTTCTGGTTGGTTTTTCCCCCCAGTCTTCCCAGAAGGAAATTCCTTGAGACTAATCCAGGAGTTGGGGAAGGTGTGATGGGTTAACATCCTGCCCCCCATTTTGGGTGCCATCTGGCCTTCCCTGAGATCAGTGTTCGGGTACCTGGTTGGTTCTAGGCCAAGGCTCAGCTGTTACTATAGTGACCAGCAAGGTTTCCTCTGGGACTCTGCCATTCCTGCTGGGGAAGGAGAAAGGGCAGGCACTGTGGTTTTGGGTGGGAGCTGGGTTCAGACATCTTTTCCTCTGGACAGCAGGAAAGCGTGAGACAGGGAGCACTTCATAGCTCAGAGGAAGGCAGAGGGGCTGTGACTGGAGAGGAGGCTGCCGAGGCTGACTGGGAGACATTAGGGTGCAGGGCTCAGCTGCTGCTGCATCACTGGCCTCCACCCCTTCTGCAGTCCATCATCTAGCCTACATTTCAAGCCAGGTGCTGAGGGTGCAGTGACCTACTTGGATGCCTCAGAGGGATTGAGTGCTTGATCTGCACCCCCACCCTGACCCCAACTTGCCCCTAGTCTCTCCATCTTGTAGTAAGTGGCATCACCACGGCCTAAGTGGTTCACACTGAAGCCTGGGGGATCCTTGACTCCTCCCCCCGCCCCCTCTCTCCCCATCATTGCAGTGATCAAAAGTCTTGTCCTCTGAGTACCACCACCTCCAAAATGATCCCCACTCTACCCTAACACCCTGGTCCTTGGGTTGCCTTTGACTTCAGCTCTTGTGTGGACTGGGGGAGACTATCCTAATTGCCTGCCTAGCTCCGCTTCCTACGCTGCAGTTAAATAACCCAGGCTCCTCGGCTCCTGACACTGCCCCTTTGCCTGGGTCACTGGCTTTTCACTCAGTTGTCTCAAGCAAGCCAAGCTCTCTCCCGCCCCCAGCCTTTGCATCTGGGTTCCTCCATCTGGAACAACCTTTGTATTTGTCATTGCTATGGCGAAATGCCAGACAAAAGCAGCTTCGGGGGAGCGAGGTTCGCTTTGGCTTACAGGCTGAGGTTCCACCAAGGCGGGGAAGGTAGGAGCATGGAGCAGCTGGTCCCGCTGCACCTGCCGCCAGGAAGCAGGGAGAGCTGAACGCTGATGCTCAATTCGTCTTTCTCTTTTGTTCTTTTTTTTTCTGTCCGGGACCCTAACCTATGGAATAGTGCTGCCTGCCTCAATTAATCTAATCTAGAAAACTTCCCATAGACTTGCCCAGGTCTGTTTCCATGGCGATTCGAAATCTCATCAAGCTGACAATATGAAACCTTCTTTTTTCCTAAAGACAAAAACCTATTAGTTATTAATTTTTGCTCTTAAGAGCAAACCTATCTATAATCTTTTATCGCAAGCACTCCAGTGTGTCTCTCCTTAAGAACAGGAATACTCTTGCATGACTCAGCTTCAGGGCTGGTGCTGTGGCTCAGTGGTAGAGTTCATGGTTAGCATGTGAGTTCCCACTGCAACCAACAACCGACAAGGTAACCATGAAGTGCCCGGGTTCAAAGATCGAATTCTGGAAACAGCGTCAAGACCTTCACTACTGTAAAGTGCACACCCAGGCTCTTCCAGTTGTCCTGGTAACCCCTTTCCTAGGATCACCGCCCTTAGCCCTAAGACCCCAAGTTGCGTTTCGTTCCCAAGCCTCATTAGTGTCCTCCCTCAGATTTGCCTTTCACGGGATAAACAGTTTATAGGGGCTCTGTTGGCTTTGCTGGACCATGTCAAGTCAGTGTGACTTTGAAACAGGGCTTCCCTCATGCCCATCGGATCTTGCTCTAAGTACCATCTCCTGGAAGAGGCGTTTCCGGGCCACACTCCACTCCTGTCTTCCTTCTGTTTGTCCATCCTAGTCTATCATTCCCTCTCAGTAAATAATCTTTGCTGTATTGTCTCTGACTCCCTGAGGAGACTGAAAACCACAGGGCTGTTTATTTTACTCGGTTTCATCCCAGTGCCTCGCAGGATGCTAGGTCTGTGGCAGGCCCAACTGTGACTTCAATGAGTGACTGGCTGCCAGCTACATGAAGGTGCACAGCTGCCTTCTCCCCATCTCGTGAGCTGGCTGGGCCCCAGAGGAACGCGTGCAAAGGCCAGACTCAGTCTAAAGAGAGGCTGCCTCTTCCTGTGACCCTGTAGTTGGTTCTCAAGCCCCATGGGCCATTATTAGCTTTCTGACTGATTTTTTTCCTACCTGGGCTCCATTCGCACCCTCTGGGCCTCTGTGCAGGAGGGATGCTGTTGGATGGGGTGCTCCAAGCTATCATGGAAGTAGAGCTTCAGGGGCAGCCGCGCCCAGTTACTGAGCACTGTCCCAGATGCTATCAGGGTCCCTCTGAAGTAGGAGTTTGCAGTTTGGTGGAGGGCCAGACATACGATGCACTATGGCATAGTCTCACCGCTATGATGGCAATATATAACCCAGTGCCAAGGAAACAAAAGGATGGGGAAGCCTTCATAAAGATAATACCTGATTAGGGCTTTGAAATATGTGTAGGAGTTTGCCAGGTTTGTTTTTTTTTTTTTTTTGCTTTGTTTTGTTTGTTTTTTAAAGGAAGTGAGAGAACTAAGACATATTGGAGTTTTTAACTAAGTCTGGATTTTGGAGTGTGGGAGGCAATAGGAAATAGGTTCCCGTTTGTTCCGGGTAGGTTCTGATGGGCCCTGGGGGCAGTGGGGGCACTAGAGGCTTTACAGCAGGCAAGACCAGGACTGTGAAAGCTTGTACTGGGTTTGCTGAGGGAGAGGGGTGGGGTGCTTATGTGGTAGGGACTTTTCTATCCCATCCCACATCAGGAGACTGATATCTGGGCCACTTACATTTCCTCCATCCAGGTGAGGGAGGACTGGAAATACGTTGCCATGGTGATCGACCGCCTGTTCCTCTGGATCTTTGTCTTTGTCTGTGTCTTCGGCACCATTGGCATGTTCCTGCAGCCTCTCTTCCAGAACTACACTGCCACGACCTTCCTCCACCCTGACCACTCGGCTCCCAGCTCCAAGTGAGGCCTCGTCGGCAGCAGCTCCTCACCCTGTGGCCCCTGGGGTTCAGTAGCACTGGGTGGAAGATGATCTGCCCCGATCCGCTCCACTGAAGCCCTGTTTCACACCTCCATTCACACATAGCCCTCCAGCCTGGAGGCTGGACCAGCTGCCTCCTGTTCAAGCCGTTCTCCTCCTCCTCCTCCTGAGCTAATTCAGGCAGTAGCGTTAATGGTGGGAGCCAAGGCTGGTAAGCAGAGGCCAGAGGTCTCAGAGCCATCCACCTTGGGAAGGGTGCTGGAGAAGGGGCCAAGGCAGGGACGGTTTTCTATGGCTTCCAATCACGGGAGAAGAGGAGGTGGGAGGGGGGGGCTCAGATCCTCCCGCCAGGCTGACAGGGACGCCCGAGGCAGGTGCAGAGGAGTGTGGCCAGTAGTTGGTACCCACCCACTTAAGCGGGCAGCGGCTGATCTGGGAGGACTCACAGGTTTAGGGGCTCTTCCCGAGAGCTTCAGCTGGCCCCACAGCCTGTGCTTTGGAGGGCCCCAGGGCCCAGCTCCAGGTTCCCTCCTGCCAGGGCAGACTTCTCTGCACTCCCAGATTTCGCTCTCCTTCTCTCATTTGGAAAGGTAAGGTGTTAGGGGAACCTCTGAAGGTCACGAGCTAGGTGAGAGTTCTAGGCTCATAGTCTCAGAAGAGCTCCTGCAGTGCCGGATTCCAGTGGGAGCCATGTTACAGGTCCGGAACAGGCCTGGAAGGTGAGCGAGCCCCTTCCTCCTTGCTCCAAGGCCACAGACTGCTTGACGGACCTAAGTGAGAGACATAGGAACTGTGCCTCGGTGTACATCCCACTTGTAGGATGGACTTAGGGGCATCTCTGCTTGGTGGCAAGAGGGACCTCCTTTTACTAGAACAAGAAATTGCCTGTATTAGGCCTCTCCCCTCCACCCCCAAACTTCCAGCCCCAGAGAAAGCACCCCAACATCATAAACAGCACCCAGAGTCCTAAGTAGCACCTGGAAAGGTGTTGGCCCTCTGGGGGGCAGCACAGTGCAGGCATTCCAGCCTCTTCAAGCCCCCGCCAGCTGCTGCTCTGACCACCCTTGACTTTCTACCTCCTGTAACTGGCTGTTGTCCCAATCAGTCACCAGCCAAGGCTGGAAAGGTCAATGAGCAGTTTGTCGGAGTCCTGGCCATGTCCTGTTGAACATATCAGGCAGACAGTGCCCACCTTAGAACCTGCTCTCAGCATTTGAACCGTGAGGACAGAAATTGGCAGAACTGTGATGGGTGGGGAGGACCTGTGGGTGAAGGATCCTGGGGCAATGCTGCCCCCCCCCCATTTTGGGTGCAGCTTTTTGAGGAAGACTACAGTGAGGGAGGGATGGTAGGAGGCTATTATGTGCCAGGGCAGTGTGAACCCTAAAGGATACTGGGAGGCTTTGGGGAAACTTGACCCCTGTCACTTCGGGTCTTCCGTCTCTGCCCTTGGTGAAGTTGGGAGGCTCCTTGCCTCCTCCATGGAGCTGACTCTGGAGGTCCCTGGGACAGGGTGGCATGGGAGTGGCCGTGAAGAAAGGAGTTGGGGATTCCCATCAGTGACCAAGCTCCAGCAAGCTGGCATCCACCTTTGCCTGGAAGATGGCCCACAGGCTCCCTGCTGCTGTGGAGACCTACAAGTCTGGAGCAGCTGGTGCCAAGAAGTGCGGAAGGCCGAAAGCAAACAGGACACAGAACCCTCTAGAAGGCTTTTTTTTGGGGGGGGGGACTTCCCTTTTTTTGAAGGGAAGGACTTCCTTGTAAGGAACAAGGACAATGGGGGACTGGCCACTGTGCCTATCCTCTGGGACTCTGCCTCTGACAGTCCTGAGGGACGCAAGCTCCTGAGAGACCAGGAGCAGCAGCAGAGCATGTCTTCAGAGGGCCTGGTAGCTGCTCCCTGCCTGTCACCGTGGCCTTTGATGACCATGACCTCCTAGGGAGGAAAAGCAAAGGCCTTTGGAGTCTTCTCCGAATTGTTCTCCAAGCAGAGGGTCATAATTCTCGTCACCCTCTGCTCCCAGGCAGAAGTGGCTGTGGAGCCCCACTTACACTGGCCAGCTTCCCACTCACCAAACCCAACTGGACAGAACAAGCACCACTTTGTAATAATTATCCCATCATGTCTGAGAAGTCTGTCAGTGTGCTGGTCACGTGCTTCCTAAAGGACTACAACTTTGGGAACGGGAGGACACCTCATCTTCATGCCATCCTTGGCACGCCCGTCTCCACTCCTGGAATATTTGCAATGGTCCACATCCCTCTCCCTAAACTTACCCCCCACCCCCACCCCCTGTAGCTGGACTCATTCCTCTTAAAATTGTTTCCAAATATGTCTGTTACTTGGTCCTGTTTTGGGGGGAGGGAGCTAACCCTTCTGGACAAGATTGGCAGATACGGAAGGGGCGAGTGCAGGGGAACCCCAAGGGAGGGCAAGGCATTTATTTCAGAAGAAATGGCTGGGAGGCTGGGCCTGCCTCTCCAGCTCATGCGCTAAGAAGCCCAGGTTTCAGCTGGCAGACTCCTACAGCTCAGGCTTGAGCCATGCCCAAGCCCTGGGACCAGAGTGAAACTGGGGGTGAGCCTCTCGAGGCCTTCACCTTAGGCTTTAAGATAACCATCTCTCTTCAAATTTGGGAGCCAGGGATCCACTCGTGCATGCCAAGCAGCACTCTAGCCCGAGCAACACTTCCAGCCCACAAAGCTGGTTACGTCCTCCGAGACAGGGATGCTCCATTTCCTCGCACGCAGGCCCAGTGGCGGCCTGAGGACAGAGGTATTTGAGACTCCAGGAGCGCAGGCACTGGCACCTTGAACTGCCTTTAGAACTGCTGTTCCCTGAGGACTGCATTTAAGCAGGTGGTGAACGATACCACATAAAGTCCTGGTCTTGAGGTTGTGCCCCAAAACGTGTCGCTGGCTCTTCTGACCTCAGTTGTCCCATCTGTCTAAAGGATGAGGAAGGGGCTGTCACTCAATGTCCTCAGGTATGGCGTTACTATGGAAAGGCCCAAGATGGGTCTTCCAGGAACTCTGGAGTAAGTTACTATGTAGGAAGAGATGAGTTTCTTGGAAATTGAAGAGGGAGACTTTGGAGGCCATCCACAAAGTTAAGAGATGTGCTTGAGCCGGGCAGTGGTGGCGCACGCCTTTAATCCCAGCACTCGGGAGGCAGAGGCAGGCGGATCTCTGTGAGTTCGAGGCCAGCCTGGTCTCCAAAGCGAGTTCCAGGAAAGGCACAAAGCTACACAGAGAAACCCTGTCTCGAAAACCCCCCCCCCAAAAAAAAAAAAAAAAAAAAAAAAAAAAGAGAGATGTGCTCGAACCCATCCTGGTTCCCAGCCGTGACTCCCTTCCAAACGGCACAGTACCGGCTGAACGCTTGTGGGGAGGAAAACCCGGGTGAGGCCAGCACGGACAGTGGTTTGTGACAGTTCCCGGTGCCATCTCTTCATTTGGGGCTTTGCTGATGCCCCTGCGAACAGGGAATGAGATGGAGGGCGCGGATGGGGAGCGGTGGTGCGAAGCTGGGCACAGTGCTGAGGACGCAGCCAACCCATGGACACACCACCTTCCCACCCAGTCGGACTGCCGCAGCAGCGGGGACCCCGAGACAGCTGTGGCCAAAGATTGAGGTGTCGCGGGTCTCTCTGTCCTCACTCTCACCTCCCCCAAGCAACCATGACACGAAACTTCCTAACAGTCCTGTTGCTTCTGTGTTTTTATTTCTGAGGAATGTATACTGTCATTTGTTAAGGGACACGAGAAGGGGCTGTATCCATCGCAGCGCCAAGGCTACGCCTGGCCTCTTCCCCACTCCGCTCTTGGGGGTCACTGCCAAAACCCCAAGGCCAACAAAAACCCCTTCAACTTGAGTACAGGAAATAGTTTCAAGCATTGACAATTCTTACACGTGATTATTCAAAGAATGCAAGACAGTTCAGACAAATCAACTACAGAAATTATTAGAAACGGTGTGGAAGGCAGGCCCTGCTTCTTAAAATAATGACCACAAAGAGGGGAGAAACATGGCGGAAGCTCTGCCCCTCTGCCCAGTGGGCCACGGAGGCAGGGGGTGGGTGCCAGTGGTTCACTTCAGCAGGCCCAAAGGATGGGGGGATGCCTTGCTCTCCTCCATCTGCGGAGAAACCCAGAACCAAAGGTTTGCCAGGCAGGATCTCGAGGGTAGAGAGGGCTCTGGTCTGGAGTGCCCGGTGTGCCTGTTGAGGAGGCGGCTGCTGAATCAGCTCTGCCGAATGACCACTCAGGAAGGACCAGGGGAGCCAAAGCAATCAGCGGAGAGAATCCCCTGACCTGCCCAGGCCCAGAGGCCACAAGGGCTCGGCTTCAGATGCAGGTGCCAGAAGGTAACATGCCTCCGGCTGACTCCACAGACGTGGTGCTACTTTGCAAATCTGCAGGCAGACCCTCACTACCGCAGACACTAGCAGTTCCATAGGAAAATGTGGTGGTGTGCAAAGACATCCCCAGTGTATTGTTAAACACAGGTTCTTGTGTTAGTCAGGTTGGATCACAGGTTGAGGAGACAGTAGCCGTTAGAATCGAAGTGCAAATATATGATATGGTTGCTGTTGGCAGTGGGCCAGAGGGGGGAGCCAGGCAGCGGGGGTGGGGGTGGGGGGGTGAGCAAGGGAGTGTGGGAAACCGCGGACACAGCTATTCCCGAGGGAGCCACACCATTCAGAGGAGAGGCGTGGGCTTGGTCCCATGGGGCAGAACGGAGCAGGGTCTAGCTGTCTGCTTGACTTGTGCTAGGGGCAGACTCCACAGAGGCTAAGGTTCCTACATACCCACAATTCAATGTCAGGGGGAGGAGTCCAAGCTCACCCCAGAGCGGGAGGCTAGCCTGCCCTGTCACCTGCAACACCGCCCTACACATATATCAGGATCTCCAAAGGGGTGGGGCAGGCCAGGAGAGCGCGGTGCCTTGTGCCCGGCCCGTGCCAGCCTCTGAAGCCATCTGGTAAAATGAAAGTACATTCACTAATGGAAAAATATATTTGTATCTCAAGTCTGTAATGCAGTCCAGAATCCACACCTCTGGCCTTTTAGAACTATGAATTTTACACAAGGCTTTGTCAACTTCTGCTGCTAACAGCGCCGCGAGAGGCGTCCCAAGTGGACAGTGACCTCGCCGTCATGATGCTTAGCATTTACTCTTGTTCAGTCTGCACAGAGGATCTACCCTCCATGACTTGTCCTCAGCTTCTCACAAATAGCTGGGGTCTGTGGCCCCACACCCCACGTGGGCAGAGCCAGATTCTGGGAATGCTTTCTGGAAGGGCAGACAGAGTGTGGCTACATTCCAAGGAATGTTGGTGCAGCCTGATCAGTGCTCTGTGGGTCCCCTGGGGCACCTTCTCCAGTCCCACATCCGGTTCTCCACTTCCCTGCTGCCCGGGAAGGGCAGTTCCTTGGCTGGCCAGCACGGCCTGTTACTGGGCAGGGTTTGCCTGTCCCAACCACATTCCCATTGTCCTGCGACCCCTGAGCAGTTCCAATTCCTGCCCATGTGAACATGTCACAACCATTCATGTTCACCTCTTCGCCCTCTGGGGTGGGGAAGGAGAAACCTCACCACAGGAAGGAATCGTAGGAGGACCAGGGGCTGCAGATCTACAGAGGTGAGATGGTTCGTCCCTGACGTGATTCACACAGAACTGACGGGGACATGACCACATCCACAAGAGGTCAGTGTAGCAATGGGAAAGGAGATGAGACACCTCCACAAAACTAAACTCCAAGGGACAGGCTGCAGGGATCAGGGACTGGCTACACTACACGTGGAATGGAAAGTGCCCCCTTCCTTTAATCTGACTCTTTGCTTGGGAAGTGGGGGGGCTTGACCAGACCCCACCTCGAAATCCCCAAGCAAGCAGGATAAATAGGAACCAAAGGTCTTGGTACCATCTATTATGGTTCCTCCATTAAAAAAAGGGGGGTTGGGGAGGGGTTTAAAAAAAAAGCCCCCAAACTCTGGCCCAATGTGATGAGGAATGTCATGAACTCCCTCTGACCCCATGAGAAACACCCCCCGCTGTCAGTCATTGGGTACTGGACAGAGATAAAAGTTCTTTTCCTCCTGGGGTTTGCTGATCCAGTTCCCATAGCCCATGTCCCGCAGGCTCTTCTTGAAGTAGTTCTTGGCTAACTCGTAGTCACGGGCAGCTTTCTTGGCCTCACCGTAGGAGAGCTGCAGCAGATCTCTGCGGGCACGGAAGGAGCAGAGCTTCTTAAACTGAAGGAAAATGTTCTTCTTGGACACCCGAGACAACTCCTTCCCTGGTCTAGGGAAAGAGAGGCACTGGTTATTCATCTGGAAGCAGGTGAGGGGAGGGCTAAGGTGTGAATTTTGCAGAAGGTGGACGCCCCTTAACTCTGGAGACTAGCAGGCAGGGGCCTGGCCCTGGGAGTCTGGCTGCAAGCCTGGCTGGGCCTCTCCTGTGCCATCCCACCTCCTTACCCATCCACAGTGCCTCTGGTGCCATCCAGGATCTCTAGGTCGTAGCCATCGGCCAAACACCAGTTGACGCTTGTCTCCTTGGTCTTTCCGGATTGCCTTTTGGAATCGTACACACTGACTCGGCCGACCTAGGAACCCATGAGAGGGATGGAAGCAAGGGGACCCTTTCCGAGCAAACATTTGGGAGCAGGGATGAACACTTGTGGGTAAGGAGGATGAGACCCTGATCACTGCCCTTGAGAGCTGACTGACTTCACCACGGTTCAGACTGACTTCAGACTGAGAGGTCAAGCCCAGACACCCAAAGGGAGGAAGGAACCCAGCAACGGCTCCTCTTTCCACAGTGCAGTTTTGTAGAAGGAGGAGGAGGAGGTATGTGTCAGGTGCGAACAGAATGGGGTCAGAGCACCTTGGGGTGGTTGACAATAAAGGGGTAGCGCAGTCCGTCCTCAAATGCCTTCCCATCTCTGGTCACGCGGCAGCAAATAGCACGGGTCAGGTGCCCTTGGCTGAAAAGGTAACCTGGGTGAGAAGAAAAGCCAGTTTGCGCGTGGGTCTGCACAAACGCTCCCCAGAGGCAGAGGCACACAGGAGCTGGGAGAAACCGTCGTCAGGACGGGAAAATCGCTCCTTTGATGGGAAGCACCTGACTGTGGCCACACAAGACACCAGGACATCAAATGCCTACACACAAAACACAAGGACCTAAGGCAGAGGACTGAGAGAAGATGACAGGGGGGCTCTAAGAGGCTTCACCGCGTCCCGAGACCCAGTCCGGCACGGCTTCCCTCAATCTGCTGCCCATGCCCACCTTCCCTGCCACAGCAGACTGGGCACTCAGACCCCGTT